GGACCATCCGTATGTTAACGTTGTACCCTACCAATCTGTCGATCTGCTGACAATTTAAAAAAAAACCTCATACATTCCATACATAACATCATGACAAGAGTAAAAAAAGGAGGCAGTTAGTTTAACAAGGCACAGAGTTTGTTCACGTTAGCTTTTTCAGTTTAGTTTCAGTTCAGGTTGTCCAGAACAGAGATATTAGACGTACTAGTACTACTACATGTATTTCACGTTAATAATGACCTGAGGCTATATATAGCAGGCACCCACCGCCAAAATCAATTACGGGAGCACTTTTTTCAATGGCCGCGGCCTGTCATGTTGTTCGTACCAGAACATAGACCATGATGGGCCCATGATCATGTCACATGCGTTCTTACACAGGTCAAGGTTGCATCGTTCCTAAGAACCATTTCACATGATTCTCTCAGGCCCTGAAAATTTTAAACAGTAAAATTCTTACACACGGACGGGGGTCATTGGTGGAAATACTAATTTGCTACCAAATGTCGCCTGTCTTGTCCTTTATTCTGTTGTCAAAACAAGTAACAAAGCAAAGCTTTCTGTAAAACTTACCAAAATTGCAAGGCGGCGCTCCAGAATGTGCCAGCTGTAACGTGTGCTCCACCATTTCGCTGGGACCGTTGTGTTTAATAGCTTGGTATATCCAGCTTCGTTTAGCTTTGAACCGTATCCCAATTAGGCCACTGGTCCCTATCCGTACCCTGTATGCTACGCTTGTGAGGCCTGGAAGGAAACATTTGTACATCGCTCGTGACGCTGCAGGGACAATCGACTGGCGTCACCACTGTGGCCAAGAGGTAGCTTCATGTAGCTGCAGCCCCCCTCCCCACAGACACACACGTAACATTACACACATGATGAAAGGCGAGGGCGATCTATGGTCATGTGCAGCCTCCTTGGTTCCTGTCATACACTGATACGTGCATCATGACCAACAGAACTCAGGTATATTGTCAGATCAAGGGCATATGTATAAGGCCACCATTTGCCTTATGGCTGCATTCTGGATCTTCCTTGGAGAGAGATCCAGTCGTTTTAACAGCAGACAGACCTGGAAGAGAGGAAGATATGTGCTTGCTGGTATCGTCCCAAAGGCAAAGTCTGACGAACTGAGACAACAGAAAGCCCGTTACTTCGGGCACTGCCTTCCAACATTTAACAACGACAGACAAGGTACGTATTAAACTTCCGATGTTCAGACCCCGAGTATATCAGCTGACATCCACGACGATTTAACGTTTGGTTTGTCTTCTCTCGCCACGTGTATGTAACGTTTTTCTAATTATATCCAATGTATCCTATGACTAAGAGCCACGATCCCTGTTGTTACTCAACTTACTGCACATACTGTTGCGCTGCAAGTACTAGTATGTACTAAGGTGGGGTTTCGCGGAAAATATGTTAATCAGGATCATAGGTCACCAATGAGCCAGCCGCTCCGGCCAATGACAATCGTTCGCGCCAAAAACAACTTCGCCGCGCATTTGACCAGTTTCACAACAGACTCCGCACTAGCTCCTACCATATCATAACATAAGTCTTTGCTAACTATTACTTTAAAGATGCTTACCTGTAACTCAGCAGGCACCAAGGACGTCGCGGCGGGACCCACGACCGGTCCTGCTGACCCGGAAGAGCTGAAACGCCGGCGGATCGAAGAAGAAAAGTCCTCGGACCAGGAGACACCCGCTCCCGCCAATTTACCGGCCGAGGTTTCCAGCCGCCCAGCTCAAAAACATGACGAATATCAGTACCTAGACTTGGTTCGGCACATCCTGGACTGTGGGCAGAGGAAGGACGACCGCACTGGCACCGGGACTTTGTCTGTTTTTGGTGCCCAGTGTCGCTACAGCCTTAGAGGTAAGTAATGTGGGGAGGGGGGCAAGGGATAATTTGTTTACATTAAAAAAATTACTTATTCTAACCCTTTTTCCAGCAGTATTAAATTTTGTTGAAGTTTTACCTCTAAATATATTATGTACATTTGGGCTTCTTGTGATAGTTCTAAGTAGCCGTGCTTGTTTTCTGTGCACGTTGGAAATCCAGAAGTCAGCAACAGATGTAATATAAATGCCAAAAAATCTTCTATGTTAGTTAACACCTGGAAATCATCATCCTAAGACAAAACTGGATGGTATCATATGTACAGTACACTACTGTGCTGGAACCCTTAGGCCTTTTGGAGCATTTTTCATTTTTGTGATGACCCATTTTTGTGAAGAAGAAGAGAAGAGGATCCCTCCAGTTTGAATTCATGACACAGAGACTTGGTTCCTATGTAACACCATTGAGGTTTAAAATCTTGGCACACTGCTGTACGACAGGATTGTTTTACTACCTACATGATATCACTCACTTTTCCAGTCCAAATGGTATTTCTTCCATCTCCACAGGGCAGTTTCCCTTGCTGACCACGAAGCGTGTGTTTTGGAGGGGGGTAGCTGAGGAGCTCTTGTGGTTTGTCAGGGGCTCTACAAATGGCACAGAACTTTCTGACAAAAACGTGCACATCTGGGACGCCAATGGCTCACGTGACTTCCTGGACAAGCGTGGACTGAGCCACTATGAGGAGGGAGACCTCGGCCCTGTGTACGGCTTCCAGTGGAGGCACTTTGGTGCAGAATACAAGGATAGGCACACTGGTAACATATTTGTTTCATCACAGTAAGGTCACCAAATTTCAAAATCTCCATAGAGCTCCATAGATATTTTTTACATGGAAATGTAGAGCACATCACATTGAACACCTTCAGGAGTGTCATTAAAAGTCGTTTTTCTAATCCATTCCTACTTAAAACTGCACAATTTCACTTCCTCATGGTAATTGTGAATTATTTAGTCAAAATGAGGGGAGTTATAAAGCCCACCACTTTGAGTCCTGTCTTCATCTTGTGGAGAAAAATTGTCTTTGTTAAATACTGAAACCTTTTGTCCATCACTGTCCATCCTAGACTACACAGGCCAGGGTGTGGACCAGCTGGCCCAGGTCATCCACACCATCAAGACTGACCCTGACAACAGGCGCATCATCATGTCTGCATGGAACCCTCCAGGTGAGGCCAAATAGACCACACTTGATCACACATTTAACTGTTTGTTTTTTTTTTGGTTTTTTTTTCACACATTTAACCACTTAGTAGGCTAGGGTTTAGGGCTGACCATCAAAGGAAAGTGTAAGAACTGAAGGAAAGTGTAGGAACCAACATTCCATCAACTTTGGACATCAGGAGTCAGGTTCTGTTGTTTGCAGTAGCTCTTACCTGTCTTTCCACTAATATGGTCTAACTCTTTCCACCAGATCTGCCTAAGATGGCGTTGCCACCCTGCCACGCCTTTGTCCAGTTCTATGTATGTAACGGAGAACTGTCGTGTCAGCTGTACCAGCGCTCGGGAGACACGGGACTCGGCGTACCCTTCAACATCGCCAGCTACTCTCTCCTCACCTACATGATCACCCACATCACAGGACTCAAGGTCTGATATCATGTAGATTATATAATTTGTTGGGAAAGTAACAGTTGATTAATAAGTCTAACAGTTACTGGTAGTCCTGGAAATGTTCACATTGCTTTTATATTCATGGTGACCTTTTCACTGGAAAGTCATTGTAAAATCAGTGATCTTGATTATAGATTTCACTTACTTTCCATCTCTTACTTTCCATGTCTCTCTTTGAGCAAATTAAATGAAAGCTGTTGCCCTTGCCTTGGCTCAAGGTCATCTACAGACTTCTTTTACATTTGTTTCCCTCCAGCCTGGGGACTTTGTCCACACCCTGGGAGATGCACATGTCTATGTCAATCATGTTGATGCCCTTAAAGAGCAGGTGGGTTTTACCTGTACCTGTCTTTTCAGCATTTCTTGTTTGGATGCATTGTCCCAAGCATCCTCTAACTTTATAGGATATAGTAAGAATCCTTTGCAAGTTGTTGAAGGGAAGATAGATTTTTAAGAAGCAGTTCCTTCCATAAAGTTAAAGGAAACTGCAAGTACATGTACTTATAAATTGCTTTCCAGTGTTCACTTTTCACTCATTCACATAATACAAATGTAATTGGGACTATTGTATACCGGTAATTATATTTATCAATGTTTCTAATGTATGCACCTCTAGCAGTTTTTTTATAGAAGAATAAACCTTTTTTACATAGCAAAATCAAAAGAAATTTGTTGTTAACTGTGTATACTTTCTCTCAGACTTAATACATGTGGTAAAGGTTACTCTACCATGTTAACTCACTATTGTCTTCCCCACAGTTAAAGAGGGAGCCACGCCCCTTCCCCACCCTCAACATCAAACGTCAAGTGGAGAACATTGACGACTTCAAGATGGAGGATTTTGAAATTGTTGGCTACAAGCCACACCCAAAGATAAGCATGGAGATGGCTGTGTGAAGCAAGTTTAGATCAGGGACTTTGGCTAGGCTGTATTTCTTACCTTTTGTATCAAGTACTTTGTGCTGTGTTGTCTTTGATATGTTCAGAGCCAGGAGCCAGATACACAGCAAATTGTAACAATTAGATAGGGAATTAACATGATGTGTTTGACATACATGACATCAACAACAATGCACCATTGCACAAAAACACACTTCTATTTAGTCTCACCAATGATTATTGTTATCAAACAAGGAGGGTGAATTTTATTATATTTACGTCTATGCGTAGAAATGAATGCTAACACTTGCATATTAAATGTGTAATAGAAAGTTATTTTATAAAGCGAAATAGAAACTTGTTTATAGAAACTTACTTACTAGTACTACCGGTATGTATAATACAATAGTAGAAATTGGTCCTCTTGTAACTGCATTACACAAAGTCAGTGTATATGTATATTATTTAGAAACCAGTGTAGAAAAATGTTGTCTTCTTCATATGGCATATTGTATATTTAAAAAGATATGATAGACATTTTGAAAATATGTGAGCCTAATATCACCAGTGTATGTTACTTAATACTTCTTCTTAGATGATGTTCTTGAACAGCCATGTGCCAGCCATTTTGTAAGTATGTTTTTGCATTAAAAAGAAAAAAGAGAAATGGTTGTACATCAGGAGTGATGTATATTTTTATGTAGTATGGTATTGCGTGTAAAGATTGTATGACGGGTTGTTGACAGAGACATTTCCTCTTAGCCTGGGTGCCATCCGATTTGTAACGGAAAAACAATGACAAAAATTGATTTATTTCGAGGTTGCTGTTTACAAATCAGATGGCACCCAGGTTAATTTCCTCTCTTGACTGGTGAAAATGAGTACCTAGCTTCTTCTAGGAACGTCCTCTATTGATCGTTAAGCTGGAGGTCTCATGTTTGAGGAGAGCCACACCTAAGAACTCAGGACACTTACGAAAATGGAGTAGTGGTCCTTCCTGATGGTTCAACCCTTATAGTCTGGTCTCTAGCTGGGTTGACATCTTGAAAAGGAAATAGTAACCTCTATGTCAATCCCTCTGCAAATGTGTTAAAATGGGCAAATCTAGTACCGTAGTACATGTCAATAAGTAAGAACATTGTACTTGCTGTTACATTTTGCATATTATACCCACGTGTCAAAAAGTACTGTCTAGCTGAAGGAGTTCGACTATCCTGAGGTTTTATTTTAAGCATTTGCAATGATGGGTGTTTGGTATATCGAGCGCTCAATGATAGCAACAAGCTATGCACAATTACTATGCAGCTCGATAGTTGGTCGCTAGGGGGCAAACCGCGCACAATTTTTGCATACATTTTTGGAGGTAGATGGGTAACGTTACGTGTGACAAAAGTAAAAAGGCAGTCATCCAGCCATAATGAAAGGCTTATATTTTTATTGAAACGAAAGAAATGTCGTTTTAGGTTCTTCGATTTAATATGTCCAAAGTAAGGAGGGAAGAATACAAAAGTTATAATGCAGGCGATCATTTGTCAATGATTTGTCTCCAATAGACCCTCGGGACTAATATGGCAAAAAATGTAATTGGATAAAGTAGGTCAAATAAGACATAATTTGTCAGAGGGTGTGACCGACCCCGATTTACCCTTTTTAATTTCATGTATGCAAGTATTCAACCACGTAGTCTGGTGATGACTAAGAGAAGTGAGGGGTAAAGTTTGTCCGAAGTTGGAGGAAAGTTTCATGTTGAATAAGTTTTGATATTGAAATCTTACACAACGGTGAGTGAATAGCACTGATGGCTCAGGATTCACGGGAATTTCTAGTAAGTGCTTGTAAATGATATAGCTTCACTCTCTTTACCCCATGCCCACGTAAAGGCTGAACCGAGGAGTACAATAAATACATAACCCTGATATGCTTTTATGTGTAAACTCTACTTGAAGGAACGCCCATATGTGCGTTTCCCATACTGGAATTAAAAAGGGAGAGAATAATATAGTCCCTAGAGCATTGAATCAAAAGTTGAAGCAAATTGATCTGTTCTGTAGTAAACAAAGGCATTCACAAATTGAAGAAAGGACGTCGACCCCTGTAATTAGCATGTTTTGGCGCATCTTATTCATGACGTACAATTATCTATCATTATCGTTCAACGTCCTCGACTTAAGCTTTCAGCTTACTGAGTTTGAAGTAGCAGTAAAATCACCAGAATTTCACGCGCTGAATGATTTATTCATCATTTATTTGATGTGCTTAATTTTCTTTTGACAACTGAGAGTGGGTTTCCATCTCGCGCCATTGTATTTAGAGTGCATGTAATGTACACCGACCCGTTGCCAGGGACGACGGACGCTTTGCTTTCAAGCGGTGAAACCGGATGAGCGAGGGGTTGGACAGGTGGGCAGGCAGGCAGGAGAGAAGGAACACAGACCGTCTGAGTCAACAAGGCTCCGGGCTGCACCACAGCTCGTTCTATTGCAGCTTTCTTCTCTATAACCCAAGACTTACAACATCGAAAGGCTGTTGTGGCCGTTTCTAGGGAGTTTGGTGCGTGGGAGAGTGCTGATATCGGCTCCTACAGGTGAGAACAAAGGTGGGTTCTGAGCACCTTTCCCAACGTTCACACACCGTGACTGGTGCATTAGGATTGTTGTGTTGTCAAGTAAATCAGACATTGTCCAACCGCTGGTCTGTTGTCTTAGTATAGATCACACCTCATATTCTCCCGAAGCGCTCCATGGGTAATGTACATTTGTACAAGCCTAGCTTCTGAGCTTCAAGACGAAAACATCGCTTGCCCATCGCCTCGATACGGCATGTTACTCCTACCAAGGAAAACAAACTTCAAATTCCTCTTCAGCCACCACCATGTTAGAGATTGTGGATTTTGCACCGTCTAATTGTTCGCGCTCAAACGACTGGAATGGTAGGATGGTCTCTCTGAGTTGGAAACAATAAGCAGAAGATTACCGGGACGCACTCCGTAAAGCCTGTACAGTGCTCCAGGTCACAGGTAATCTTGCATGGCAACAATTTTTAACGACTGGTGTCTACAAGGGTCATCTTTATTTACCTTAGAATCTGGTCTTATGTGTTTCCATGTAAAGCGTACTTTTGGCCGTCTTTGCCGAAAACTAACGTCATGATGACAAGTTAAGTGTTTGTTATTTCTGGAAGATTCTGAACAAAACTAACAAGTGATGTGAAACTCTCCACATATTAACAGCTAAGTTGCCAAAACACATTAAGACAACAAAGTTTACATAGTGACAGGCGTCATTTCACTTTCGCTGATCTCCTATAATACCACGTAAGTTACGAGGACTTTGCGTTAAACCATGGCAAAGAGGACTGCATGTGTCATCGGACGTGCAAATTGGTTTGACTTGTGAGGTAATACAATATATTATCGAGAATACCGTTGGGTAAATTTTTGATGTGAATTTTGAGCAGCTAACATACATGTAAGAGCAGAACGTCCCCATTCCTTTCATCTCATGCGTTTACATTTTGACTGGTAACGTTGCATGAAAGCTTAACAAAACCCCTCACTCGTGAAATGTGCTAGTTAACAGTCTTTATAGTGAACTTCTTTTATATCTTCACATGTGAGATGTTGGCTGGTTTATACATTTGTACTTAAATCATTACAACTACTACCACGACCATATACCTCCGGCAATGAATGTAAACAAATTGCATGTAGATTCACCGGTGCGAAGAATGCACAATACGTTCTGCAATGCTACACCTATTTACCAACGCGAATGGTATTGTCACTCCGGCTGGTACGATGTCAAGAACGCACGGTATGGAGCCACGGTTCACTGCGGGGTGTGGTTCGTTTCAACAAGGGGAGGGCCAGGCATTGTTCCTCCCCTCGTCATAGAGTTCCCGCGGCCAGGTTTGACATATCATGTAAGCTGCAGGGTATGTTTGGGGGCACAATTGACTAGTGTTATGTGAGAGATGCTCATTCAACACCGTTATAGAAAATATTTCATTGGTTAGATATAGTGATATGACCAAAAGGAAAGTGATACGCCAATTTTAGCGAGCTATTCTATAAGTCAGAATCTGGTCGATTCCAGGTGTTAACTTCGCGCTATTTCAGTTGACTGGCATGACCATAACAACGCCGCGGGTACTATGTTCCATGGGCACACGTCCGTCTGTGACTAGAGGTTGCTATGTACTTTCACGGGGGAGTGGCGAAAGTTTTCTAAGCATTCTGCAGAGTGAAATATATGACATCAAATATTCTATCGACTCCTTTGACGAACTGTTCACCCACCACCACCGGTGTTCGGTGTCATCGTATTGATTTGTACCCTTAATTGCCCGAACTACTCTTATAGGTGATTACGATTCCAGGGTTTATTTTCTGGCGGACTTTATTCCCATCGCGTAGTCACTGGACAACACTGGAGTGTTTGTTAAGGTCCAACAGGCGGCGCTGTGTTATCTACCTGCCGTTTGCTTTCCTCTACCGTAAAGTGACATGGATCGATTGGCGGGAAATCCACACTAGCTTTGTATACTCTCCTGGATCCGTCACGTTACAAAATGTGCACATGCCTGTGTTGTAGCGACGGGAAGGGGGAGGATAGCACGTAACATTTGTGTCGCGGCCATTTCTGAGCGGGTAGAGTGACATGGCGATGTTTAGACAACCTACTCTGTACCCCGGGCCCTTACATTGACAGCAGCTCACCGGGGGTCACCTGTCACAGGTACGAAGGTGTGAATAAGGGTGGGTGACATTATCGTGCGACATGTTTGCTTAATCTGACGACTGATACACTCCGTTTGTGTTCGTGCAGAATCTGAGACGGACCAGACATGGCGGGATTGATGAACAACGACTTCTCGACGCTTTGGTCGCCAGCACAAACTTCACCAGACAATGTACAACTGACACGAGTCGTCTTCTAGGGGATGCTTTGACCTCTGGATCCAAGATGGCGGCCTCCGGAGGTGTCGAATACAAGCCTAAATCTAAGTCGTTCGACTATCAGATGTGCAAGAAGGTGGCTGAACTGACGCAGGTTGTACACATGTTGTTCACACGCTGCCATCAGAGAGAAGTGGAGATAGACGCACTGAAACATGCGTACGAAGAAGAAATTACCGCGGTTATTGAGGACGCCAAGGCCCGGATAGCCAGACTAGAACAGGCCTTGGACATCATGAAACGGCGCGACGCTTCCGACGCCAACAGGGAGGCCAGCAAAGTCAGAGAGGAGCTTTTGAAACAATTAAAAGAGCAAGAAGAGGCATATGAAAAGAAACTCAAGGAACGTGACTCAGAAATAGAGGACGAGAAAATGGAAAACTCGAGATTATCAGCTCTTTTGAAACAATCTGAGACCGAATTGGCCAAGTTACGGGAAGGAAAAACAAACGAGAGTTCTGCAAGAAGTAAGGAGCTGGAAGACCTGAAATCGGAAATCGCTCAACTATCAGACCTAAAAAGTGAATTAACTAGAAATCTCGAAGGCAGCGAGGCCATTATCGGAGACTTAAGCAAGCAATTGGAGGCAATAGTTGAAGAGCACACAACGCGGACAAAAGAGTTAGAGGACGTGAAAGAAAGCCTTTTGGAAACACAGCAAATAAAGGACAAGCTGTACACAAAGAACAAGCAGTTGGAAAAGGAGATTGAAAGACTGAGAAGTCAGGGTAAGCGGGTGACACGGGAGAGCACCAGTGCCCAGGGGACTGGCCGCTCGGACACTGCCCAGTCTGTCCGCAGGCCGGACACCTCACATTCCGTCAAAAGACCGGACACATCACAGTCCACTAGGTCAACCTGTTCACCATCCAGGGTCACTTTCTGGGTAAGTCATAAAAGTGATGTTGTATACGTTTTGGAGTGGCTATGTCAGTACAACGGAGTATATCAAAATAAACCTTGTCGGGAGCTTTATATGATGTTTTTAAAATAAAGTTTGTTTTTTTTGCACCAGGCTATGTTGGATACAATATGGAATGCGTTCAGATATTCAATATCCAACCCCATCAAATGTCAAGAAGAAAAAAAACCAATACAGACAATAAGCATAATAATCATGTTTGAATCCCGCTCACTAGTGAACAATATACATATTCTATAAAACTGTTATGGTGCAGAGGTCTTAATTTGTAAATGTATGCTTTGCTATTACGTATATACATACATTTCCCGTAAGAAAATCTTTTGTATGTGGATCAAACTCAGTGGATCGACGATTACTATATATTGATTATTATCTTTCTCTTTGACTGAGCTTTTCAGGGTTTGGTGTTAGTTTGCTGAATTGCGAATAATTTACACATTTAGTTTCCTAAGTTGCAGGCCAGTTAAGATACATTTCATCTTCCATCAATATAGTAGATACCGTAGTTGATACACTGTAGTACCTGTGTCATATTCCGATGTTCGGCATCACATGGTTGTTCTCTTTTCGCCCCTCAGGACCAGCGATGTGAGGTTGACCGACTGAGGGACGAAGTGGAAAGATATCGGCTCGAACTCATCAACAGGGAGGGGAATTTTAACCGAACGTTCTCGGAGTTCCAGCCGGTGTACGTGGATCCCCGCTCCGCTGGCCGACTCCGCAGCGACTCGCCAGCAACCCTCAGGATTCGGAGTTCTCATCAGAGGAGGGACCAGGTAAAAGCCCTGTCACACATTCAGGACCTTCCCACGACTTTGCTCCCGAAAAAAAGGTCGTCGCGATCGCTTAGCCTGGAATCCTGTTCGCGGTCCTTTGACCGCATCCCGACTTTGAGTATCTCTCTTTCTTAAGGGCGCTCTGTCCTGGCAAATCACAATATCAATATTGTGGCCTGAGAAAAGTGTGAATCACTCATTCATTTCTATATCCTTTATTTTTCAGCGGCAGAACGGATACCATGACAGGCCCAACACGGTTCACAGCAGCCAGCGCCTGCCGTTTTTCTCCCTGCAGCCTGAGGACCAGAACGGCAACGCCGCCTCGCGGAGTTATCCGGGACTGTCCCAAATCAGACATCAAGTAGCCGCGCCAAAGACGAGACCGCTTGGCTATAAACTTCTTACGGGCAAAGTCATCAGCGACGTTATGACGACGGACTGAATTGGAGAAAGTGATCTTCTGATGTATTGACAGATCATATTACACACCCCTACGTATATTAGTATCAATTTCCGAACTGTATTTCTGTATTTATGATGTGAAACGTGCTGGTGAATTCTACATAGAAAATATTCAGTTCTTAATTTATGGTTCATGAGGTGAGCGATTGTAAGAAACAGTTGATCGCATCAGTTTTGAGCGTGAGAGGAGCGACCCCTAGCGTTTGAGGTATACACTGCATTGCTGCATGCGGTTTGGCGTGCAATAAAATTCTTTGTTTAATGGTATAGTGCATATTTATTCAGTAGTGTGGAAGTCAAAGTAGGAGGTACCTTTAGGAGCAAAAAAAACGGAAGTGTCGAAAGTTACAAGTAGAAAGCACGACATATTTACAAATGGAAATGACGTTATGTCATTACTTTTTCCTCGTGCGTATGTTATGAATAACGTTATGTGTATATGCATACCGTCCATTAATCACTTTTTGTAATACGACGCCATTCTTTCTGCTGATTAATACTTACTTGAAAATACAAAAACATGTCTTTGTATCTATATTCGTCCCCGGCTCTCCCGGAAAGTATCATCGATGGACTATATAAGCACGTATAACCAATATTAACCAAGGATTATGTAATGATTTCCATTTGACATGAGTATAAGCCTTCACTGCTATGAGCAAGGAGGTATCTGACAAGTGACCCGACAACAGGGGTGATTTTTACTGTTCAAGCCGACTCAAGCGGTAATAATGATATTGATTCACACGGTGTATTACACCGTGTGAATCAATATCATTATTACCGCTTGAGTCGGCTTGATAGCTCTGACATTCGGGATTGTCAGATACAGATTGGAGATGAGAAAACGGGGCGTTCTGAGTGTCAGTCTGTTCCATGTTTGCATTATCATTGACTAGTAAGTGATGTTCTGAAGTGGACCGTATTCAAATATGATTGACCTTTGACAATTTTTGAATACTAGTAACCGTAGTGGAACCAACGATCGGCCCCTCTCGTGGCTTGACAGGACGCAGCTGGGTTTTTTTTCGTGAGGGGCATCACGGTGAGGGGTGGGGATCAGTTCCCACACCATAGTTCTAGTGTCGCAAGATGATTGTTATTCGAACGTTCAGTAGAGGGAGTCACCATTACTATTATCGAGAAGCGCGCTAAGCTGTACTTTAAACTTAGATCGCATGAGGTCGCTCCTGCGTCGTGACGTCAACGTTTACCTTGACCAGAAGAAGGACAGCAATGATTCACGTATCCAGCCGGCAGTTTACTGCATAGCAACAGCCGCGACGGGTTTGAAACTAGATCGCCCCAGCCTTCAAGTCCGTATTGATTGGAACGTTAACCTTCATCGTCGACGAAGTACTACTAGTAATCAAAACTAACTTTTCGTAACACTGCTGGAATTGTGCCTGGCGTTATCAGGAAGGTCAGACAGACATTGGCAGTGTTGTTATGTGATGATGGTATCGATTGAGTTCCGAGCACTCCTCAATCTTCTCCCAGTCAGCATCTCTAGCCGACTGTTGAGAGAATGTAGGCTCCGAATGTAGTTCGCCGCGTCTCAGTAGCTAGCGTGACAACTCGCAATTTCGGGCAGACGGAGATTCGCAGAGTGGTGAAAATAGCGCCGCGTACTTCTCAATAAGCCGAGTTGCAGAGCGTCTAGCTGTGTATGGGCATGAACACCTTTCTGTTATACTATTACTTATACAGCCAATATTGAACCTACTACTTTGCAGCTTTTAGCAGTAGCTATCTAGCTCCAATATCATGGCAAGGTCATACGAAGGTTGTCACATAATACATAATTGTTTGTTAATGCAGCAGAGTAAATGGGACTCAAAACGACTCTTCAACATCTTGCAAGCACAATGCGAGTGAAGTGAAATGTGTAATTATAATCACTAGTCTGTGTTGAAATGGCTGACGTGTCTGGTGTTTTTGTGACACTTGAGCAGACATCGCGTGGATACAAAATGTATGGGTATGACGTCTTTACAAACAGCTCACAGGACTGAGGTTTAGGGAATAAAAAAACTCAATGTGCTGTGTTTGGTATATCATTTAACCTGAAAGTATATTTATAGACGGAGGACAATGATGAGGTAAAGTCAGGTCCAGTTTCATAGAGCGCGGGGGGGGGGG